TTATTTCCGTCTGTCCACATGCTCCACAAAACTTGACCATCGGTGTATTCTGTGTATTCCCTATGTAGGGAGCAGCTGCTCCTCTTTGGGGCTGTGGTGGATGTGAGGTCACTGCCCCTCAGAGCAGAGCTGGGGTCTCACAATTCAGGAGGGAAGAGGTCTCAGACCAGGTGCAGGACAACAGAGGTGAAAAGCCCCCTACTCACTTATCAGCCTACAACTGGCTTCCCCTGACCCTTGACCTTGCTATCACCAAGGTCATCCATGACCTTCTCCTTGCCAAGCCCAGTGGGTGCAGCTGTCACCAGTGCCAGGGCTTTGTTCCCATTCTAAACCCTGCCCTCGTGCCTTTCAGGATCTGGACCCTAATTAGTCCCTTAGTTTGGTTTTTGTTTGTGTGGGTTTTTCTTAAAATGTTTTATTATGATAAAAATATATATAACAAAACATTTGCCAATGCAGCATTTTTTTATGTACAGTTCAGTGATAGTGGTTTTGTTCCTCATGTTGTACAACTCTCACCGCTATCAGTTTCCAAATAATTCCACCACCATTAACAGAGACTCCGTGCCCCCTAAGCTAAGACTTCCTCTTTTCCTCTCCCTCCCATCCCTGGTAGCCGCCAGTTAACTTTGGTCTCTATACATTTGCCTGTTTCATATTAGTGGGGTCATACAATATTTTTGTAACTGACTTACTTCACTCAGCACAATGTTTTCATCACGACTCCATGGTTTTTTCAAATACAAATATACTATAGAGTACTTAATTGATTCTCCATTGATGGAAAATTATATTGTTTCCAATCTTTTGCTGCGATGAATAACTTGTATGAACATTTACCACGTGTGTATGTGTGTGTGTGTGTGTGTGTGTCTATAGGATAATTTGCTAGAAAGTTTGAATCAAAGAGTGTATTTGTAATCCCTACAGATAGAGACAAATTGTGCTATTTATACTCCCATCAGCAATGTGCCTATTTCATCCTTGCTGATGTCATAAGTGAATCCATTGTAATCTAAATTTGCATTTTCATTTTGTGAGTAGGTTGAGTAGCTTTCATTGTGTTTAAGAACCATTCTTCAAAAGTCTGTGGACTTGAATGATTTGAAGAAGCTGTTTTCATATTAAGGAAATCAGTTGTTTGTTAGTTGAAAATATTTGTTACCAGCTTGTTGGTGGCCTTTTGACTTAGTGTATGGTGACTTTGCTAGGCAAAAAAAAGAGGTTTTATTTTTATTTTGATACATTCAGTGGTGTGCTAGGGTCAACTCTCACCAATTAGCAAGAGCCAATTGTGTGCATCTTTTCCCAACTCAGAGTTCAGCAATTTCAAATTGAATGCTTGAAGCTGGTGATGATGGGAGTGTTTATACCACGGAAACTAGCAAATGCTACAAATCAGAGCTTTTTTTTTTTTTTTAACAGTTGTTAAACATTTAGCAGTAAACCCAGAGGCGTATCTAAGGAAAACAGCACTTATAACAAGCACAGGCAGTGACAGTAACAAGCACCCAGTGACAATCTCTAAGTTGCACATTCCCCCAATTTCAAGATGAATAGACGTTGATAGCAGCGATGTGTCAGTAGAAATGTCTTCCCTCCTCTTGTCCAGCTGCCTCAGTCAGACACCTTTCATATTGTGGCACCCCAGAAGGTCATTCAGTGCCTCAACTGGTGCCTCCTTGGACTTGTGCCCAGGGGAAAGTGCCCCTCTCTGCCCCCACCTCACTACACCTCTGTGTCTACCATGTTTGAGGAAGGGCATTGAGCCATACTGGGTTAATAGATACTGCTCAGTGGTACCCCCTGCCTCAAGTGGCACCCAGGACACATGCCGCACTGGCCATACCTTAGATATGCCTCTGAGTAAACCACTGGCTGCCTTTATCAATCTTTTCTTTATGCCTCTGACTTTACATACTCTAACTTTACTTTTAAATTTTGCCACAATTTCATCTAGTAACCTCATCTCTGTTGTTGTTAGGTGCCATCGAGTTGATTTTCAACTCACAGCAACCTCATGTGACAGAGTAGAACTGCCCCGTAGGACTTTCTAGCTGTAATCTTTGCAGAAGCAGCTTGCCAGGTCACATGTTTTCTCAGATGGAGCCACTGCCTGGGTTTGAACCGCAGACCTTTTGGTTGGCAGCCAAGAGCTTAACTGTTGCACCATCAGGGCTCCTTAGCCTCATCTCTAAGCACTCCCAAACATACCAATTTATTCAAGCCCTACAGGACCTTGATCATGTAAGGCCATTTCAGCTCTCAGCTGTAGGTTCCCCTCCTATACCTTGTTCCAATAATATCCTTCCATGCCAACATCACTGCCTAGCCAGCTCCTATCTGTTGTTCGTGCTCTACTTAAACCTCTCCTCCTACAACATGCTCTCCTTGTCCTGACAGTCTCCATGAGCTGCCCATTCTCAGGAGCCCCTCAGCTTAAGTCCATCACTAAAGGTGTCATATGGCCTTGTGAGTATCTGCTTTTGCATGTCTGGTCATGAGACTGTGAGCTCCTCAAACACAGCTAAATTAAACAGGCCTCAGTGAACTGTTGAAAGCTAAATGACAAGATTCTTGGAGGTAAATCTGGGATCTGAGTTGGCACAGATAGCCAGTACAGGAGGTATGTGATCTAAGACAATTTAGACAAATGCACATGGGCCTCTTGGAAAAATGACAGAGTCTGCTTCTAGCCCTGTTCTCCTCGGGTTGAACCCAGACAGTCCAAGCCCATCAATCAATGAAGGGAAGATACAAATCTATGTGATGGAAGGACAAGAAAGACAAAGCCCGTAAGCTGGGTCTGGGCTTAGCTTTCTCTCCATCTCTCCAAGACTTGAAGCCCTGGGCAATGACACTTTTCTTCCAGGGCCAGTCCCTGTGTCTGGTCTGTGCCTCCAGCAGCAATTCCCCTGTCTGGCTGAGTTGGGCATGGGGGAGCCTAATCCTAAGCTCCTTGCAACCCTTGAATCCAAGGGTCTTGCAACTGCCTCAGATGGACTTGGGGGACCATGCAAAGTACATCTGCCAAGCTCAGAACCTGCTGGGCTATAATAATTGGGTAATAATTGGGGGAAGGATGTCTAGCAAGGTGAGAGGCACATACTGAATCTTCTCCCTTCTCTCCACAGATCCCCCCCAGCTGTTTGGCCCCTCCTGCTCCTGGGAGACCAAGGGTCTGCACTGCACCTGCTCTGCCCGAGCCTGGCCAGCCCCTTACCTGTGCTGGCGGGATGGGGACAAGCTGGTGGAGGGGAACAGCAGCACCTCCTTCATGGTCAACTTTTCCTCCACTGGGCCCTGGACCAACAGCTCATTGAGCCTCAGCACAGAGCTCATCTCTGGCCTCAGGCTCAGCTGTGATGCCCATAATGCCCTTGGGAACCAGAGTGTCACTGTCCTGCTGCTGCCAGGTCAGAGGGAGGGTATGAAAGTTGATGCCTAAGGAAGGAGATGACATAAGCCTGGATCCTAGGAGACACTGAGAGTGGGAGAAATGAGTCTGAGCCCAGGGCAAGAGGAGACTGTGGTTCAGGGTTCTGAGTCCTTTGACTAGCGAGCAAGCTAGGGTAACAGGGGGCTGCAGTCATATAGGGTGGTGGGGGACAAAAGGGTCCTTGATGGAGTGGGCACACATATGGATCATGGATTTGCAAAGACTACATGTTCAGATGCCTGATTAGGAGGATTGAGGCTCACTTGAACTCTCACTTGTCTGCAGGGAAACCAAGGACCTGGTCACAAATAGCTCAGGGCATCACCTGGGCAGCCAGCATCACTGCCCTGCTAACTCTCTGCCTCTGCCTCATCTTCTTCACGTGAGTGTTGGTCCCAATTTGGGTGAAGGCTTTGGGTGGTAGTGATGGTATTGGACACAGCTCAAATGATCTCCAAAACCTGATGCCCATAGCTGTAGGAACTTGGAAATGTGGTAAAGTTCAGGGAGAGTGCAGTTAGTCAAAATGACATCAAGAATTTAGCCTCCTTGATCTTGGTGGTGGTGGTGCTGTTCTTAGCTGCTGTTGAGTCAGTCCCTAACTGCACAACGGAGCAAAACACTGCCCAGTCCTGCACCATCTACATAATGCATTGTGGATCGGACCATTGTGATCCATAGGGTTTTCACTGGTTGATTTTAGGGAGTAGATTGCCAGGCCTTTTTTTCTAGTTCTTCTTAGTCTGGAAGCTCTACTGAAACCTGTTCAGTATCATAGCGACACGCAAGCCTACAATGATAGATAGGTGATGGCTGCACTTGAGGTGTATTGACCAGGAATCGAGCTTGGAAGGCAAGAATTCTACCACGGAGCCACCAATGCCTCTTTGATCTTATTAGAGATCTATTTCCCCCATCCTGCTCATCCTGATTTTTTTAATGCCTAGCGCGCACACACACACACACACACACACACATCCACACACCACCACCACCACAGTGATGACGATGTCTGGCTTCTGATAACCAGGGCCCTTATTTGGTCTATACCCTTCACCAGCTCTGTGATTCTGAGCAAGTCATTTAATGTTTCAGAGCTGTCATTTTTCTTCCTCTGAAAGTGGTACAATAGTAGTGTCTTAGTTATCTAGTGCTGCTATAACAGAAATACCACAAGTGGATGGTTTGAACAAAGAGAAGTTTATTTCCTTACAGTAAAGTAGGCTAAAAGTCCAGATTCAGGGTGTCAGCTCCAGGGGAAGGCTTTCTCTCTCTCTTGGCCTTCTCATCAGTGTTCCCCTGGACTAGGAGCTTCTCGGCGCAGGGACCCCTCGGCGCTCTGCTCTTGGCACTGCTCTCTTGATGGTATGAGGTCCCCAATTTTCTGCTTGCTTCCCTTTCCTTTTATCTCTTGAGAGATAAAAGGTGGTGCAGGCCACACCCCAGGGAAACTCCCTTTACATTGGATCAGGGATGTGACCAGTAGCTATTTCATATGGTTTAAAACACTATGCAAACAGTTACTGTTATTATTACTAACTCCAAGATCTATTGAACGCTCATAAAGCTTAGGTTCTGATTTTACATCCTGGACTCCAAAATAGCTCAAGTGCGACAGTGGCATTTTGTAGCTTCAAAACCTTAAGAATCTATTCAAAATTTATCTTTAAGAGGGTAAATACTAGGATAAATACCTCAATAGTAGACTCCAAGAATATGGGGGCATTGGTGGTTCAGTGGTAAAATTCATTCCTTCCATACAGGTGATCTTGGTTTGATTCCCAACCAATGCACCTCACGCATAGCCAACACCTGTCTGTCAGTGGAGGCTTGTGTGCTGCTATGATGCTGAGCATGTTTCAGTGGAGTTTCCAGACTAAGATGGATAAGGAAGAAAGATCTGGTGATCTATTTCTGAAAATCAGCCAATGGAAACCCACAACTGTCAGATCCAAAATCATGGGGATGGCACAGGCTCAGGCAGTGATTCTTTCCATTGTGCATGGGGTTGCCATGAGTTGGGAGCCAACTCTACAGCAGCTAACAACAGACTCTGTGATGAGGTGCATACTCAGGCAAGGACAAAGAAGAAAAAAAAGAATTCAGCCTCCTGTTATCTTGGCCAGGGGGAGGATCTGTTCCCAACCCCTGGCTCCTGCTATCCAGGAGGAGGGTGCATCTGTTTTCTTCATGGTCTGAAGGTAGACAGCAGCCCTCACTCCCCTGGTTCAGTCACCCTTTCTAGGCTCCTAGCAGAAAGCCAGCCAGATTGAAAGAGTCTGCTCTCTTTTCTCAGAGTGAAGGTCTACAAGAAGAAATCAGCTGAAGCAGCAGCGAGCAGGGATGACATCAATCCTGTGTTGGGTACCTCCTCCAAGGTAAATGATGTGGGCATCTTTTCAGCCAGCGTCCCAGCTGGATGTCTCCCCAGGGATGGTCCACAGGGGCTCACGCAGCATCTCAAGAACTCAGCTCCAAATTTTCCCCCCAAATTTGTCCCTCCTGCCGGGTTTCCCATTGCAGTCACCCAGGCCGTGACCTGGGACTTTCCTCTCCTCCTTCCTCTTCTTCATCTCCAAGAGCCAGTAATTCACCAACCAACCAGTTGTCGTGGAGTTGACCCCGACTCATGGTGACCCCATGTGTGTCAGAGCAGAACTGTGTCCCATAGGATTTTCAGGGGT